AACTCTAAACCCTAAGCCCTACACCAAAAGCCCTAAACCCCAGGGTTATTGCCAGGGATGTCAAGGATGATCTAAAGCGCAAGAGCTGGGGCTCTGCTGCCACCGGGTCGGGGTCGGGCTCATCGGAGGATGCCTTGGAAGAGCAGTTGCCGAGTTGCAAAGAGATTGTTCTACGCCTGCACCAGAGTGCAGCTCCATGGGAACGGGCGACCCACGAGCGACCCGGTTGGATGCACCTCCGTTCTCAAGGCCGCTTTATGGTCAGCAGCCTTTGAAAGCGCTTTCTTGGGCACAGTCGTTGAGAACCACGCCATTGCTCGAGGTTTCCATGGTATCGTCCGTACAGGTGTTTTGGAAGAGCGCGAGGTGGTGACCAAGGAGATGTTCCGCGACTCTGACGATGAACAGCTCTTTACAGAAGCTTACCTTCTTGGACTCCTTGTTCCGGCATCTCCATATTTAGGGTATGCAGTGACTTCCGACGGGCTGCCTCGAATGGTATCTGCACGCATGCCAGAGACTGTGGCGCAATCCCTGAAGCGCAACGACGGGACCTATTCCGAGCGCTCGCAACTGGCCGTAGGCATTCTGTCAGGCAGGTTGGTTTTTCCGCACCCTCCTCTCTTCCTTCCTCCTCGCTCTCTCTCTCTCTCTCTCTGACTTGGTGCAAGTGGGTACGGCCCTGGCTGTATCATTCTGCATAGTCCAATGCGTGGAATTCAATGGAATTAAGATGGAATTTGACTTGGCATTCGCGACTGCCGCATGCCGGAATTTACAATTCAACTGAATTTGGTTTGAAATGAGACTTGGGGCATGTGACTGCTATGTCAAAGGGGTTGAGGCCCTGACAACATTATTCTGCAAAATGGATAGAATTTGGCTTGATATTCTTGACTGCTGTGTGAGGCGGCTGTGACTGCATGCATTCTGCATGCCTTTCAATCCTGGGACCTTGCGAATTTGTTGTCCAACATGACTTGCATGAGTCTGCATGCCCTCGAACTGAATGAGCACGTGGCCGCAGAGAAGTGAAAACTCTTTTTCGCTTCGCTGAGATGTACTGGGTCTTTGGTGGCTGTAGTTGTCTGTGAACTGCTGTAGCGCGACGTGCCTCGTCCGTTTCCCTGACTGACGTAATCCTCTCGTACTTCAGGCTCTTAGGTCCCAGGCTCTTAGGTCCCTTTATCACCCGCTTATTGGTGTTTGTGTGACTGTAAAATAGGAAATGGGCGGCACGCTGTCACAACCTTGACTTGCTGTTGAAACAGTGTGCAATGACTCGAGCTACTCTGGGCTAATGGTGGCAGGAACACCCCGACAATACCCTTGCCATCCCGCAACCGCTTTTGGGGCCTCACGGAAGTGAGGCGCCCTGAAACCCCTAAAACGCATGCCAGGTTGATCTAAAGCATGTTGGGAAGCTTGGCTAACGCCAAAAAGCGCCTTGCGTTGCTTAGCCCGAAACCTAAACCCCCAAACCCAACGGAGCTCAGCGGTGGATGCAAGGTTGATCTGGCAAAACCGGCAGGTTCTTCGCACGGACCCGGGGCCCTTCGAGGAGGACCTCTGCGAGCAGTTCCGGTTTGGGGCTTTAGGGTGTTTGTGGGGCTTTAGAAGGGTTGTCATGTATTTTTTTGGTTTAAAAAAAGACGGGTTGGTTCGTGGAGGGGGTCCATCACTAAACCCTAAACCTCCAAACCCTAAACCGTAAGATTGTCTACGCCATTCCTCTGGCTCCTGCGTCATCACCGACACCTGAGCACTGCACCTTGAAGACCCAAGCCCCCCTGAACCCTCAGCCCCTCTGCCCCCCCCCCCCTGCACCCCTAATCGGGGCCTTAGCAGTTAGAATAGGGTTTGGGGCATATTATACTATAATTATATTAATCAGGAACCCCAATAACCTCTTCTAATTCTTAAGGCCCCTACATTATACTAAACCCCTCAACCCCAACACTGCACCTTATTCAACTTCCTCGCTGTAAGCCCGTTCTTCCGGCCACGAATCTTTAAGTCAGATTTTGAAACAAAGCTCGGCAAAGGCCCAAGCAGCCTTTCCGCATTAGGAATTGACAGGGTGTCTTACGGGTTTTAGAAAAGTTTTGTCGGGTTGATAGGGTTCGATAGCTGTTGATGGCTGCTGTGGATTATGCTGTGTTTATTTTGGACTTTTTGGACGACAGAGTTCAAGGATTTTCCTCCGTTATCGCATCATCAGTAGTGGCCCACGACAGGTGGACGATGCAGTGGTAGCTTTGTAATATCTGTTCGCAAGTTTGGGCTGAGGTCCCTAAACAAACGCAAGTCCGACTGAACCCTAAACCGAAAATCCTAAACCCCCAAACCCTGAAACTTGAAGCCCTAAGAACTACCGGCCTTGGCGGGTGCGAAAAAACACCGGAAGTTACGGAACTGTGAGTTGCATGTCGTTGTCGAAGAAGTCGCGGTGTGAGCTCCGAAGTTTTCTGAAATAGAAATGGGTGCAAACCCTTTTTTAGGCCTCAGGGTTCAAGGATTTTTCGGCTTACATCCGAGAGCAGCCTAACCATAAAAGATACACTCTGAACCCTAAACCCTTAACCCTCAACCCTCAACCCTGAACCCTAAGCCCTCAGCCTTTGACCCTCAACAAGGTTTAGGGTTTAGGGTTTCTACAACGGAGTGCAGCAGCTCTGAGAACAAGGCGGGCATTTTCAAGCCTGTGCAAAAGGGTTTCTACCAAATCCTAAACCCTAAATTTTAAACCTGAACCCTAAACCCTAAACCCCTAAACCCCTAAACTCCTAAACCCAAAACCCTAAACCCAAAACCCTACACCCTAACATTTTCTGCCCTAGCAACCAAGCAGGATGGCCCGAGGCCTTTGATCCTCCACCTGGCCATTTGTGGGGCTCGCTGCGCCACATGCCAGAAATCTAGGGGTTTAGGGTTTAGGGTTTAGGGTTTAGGGTTTAATCTAGGTTACCCTAAATCCTAAACACTTTTTCAGGGCTGCCGATGTGGTACGTGATTGCGTGTTCAGGGGCGGCTTCTGATTGAGATTGGTTGTGGACCAGCCCATTAAAAGCCCGGGCCCTACTTGTGAACCTCCAAGTAAGCCCTAAACCATAAAACACCAAAGCCATTTGCATATGAGGCAAAGCCTCCTGTTGCAGCTTTGGGTATACATAACCATGCAAGACGATCTTATTGCTACTCTGTTTTTTTGCGGCCGTCACAACTGAAGACATAGTGAGAGTATGATATGCATGCCGATGCGGGGTTATGAGAACTTGAGGTAGAGAAACCCAAGACGTTGGAGGTGAAGCGTTCTAAGTATCTCTGACACTCGAGCCAGCCTGCCTAGTAGTTTTCTGTAAACCCCAAAAGTCCCTAAACCAGACTCGAAAATCTAACCTTATATCGGCCCAAACCCTAAACCGTCGACACCTAAAACTCTCGTAGAGTTTTAAGGCTCAGGGTCTAGGGCTCTGCATTCAACTGGCGCTTCTCTTTGCAAGGTTGGAAAGACATCGCTGCTCCAGCGCTACACCAACACGGACACCCCTTGTGCAGGGATCAGTAGTGGCTCTGCACAACTGGCAAGCTTATCACTATTCAATTCCATCAAGCTCCTGAATATACTTGCAGTGTACATCCCTAGTCTAGTTGTAAAGGCTTCGCGTCGTCCACCTCAACCCGCTCGCAGGTGCAAAGTAGTTTCCATTCATCGCGCAATTCGAAGGTTAAGAGTTCAGAGTGTGCAAGACGACAAATATAGGGGTTCCCCAAGATGAGGGCGGGCACATATAGTCAGGATTATGGCTATTGGCATGTTGGGGTCTATTTTGGGTTCCCCTTATTTCCTAACGTGACCATACGGGCTTGGGGGGAACCGGGGAGGGCGAGCAATTCCGCGGTCAGAATTTCTGGTCATTGCCCAGACCCCCCAAAAGGATCTAAAAAATAGATCCCCTAAGGGGGTTCCTATAAAGTACCCTTTAGGGGATCTTTTTTTTAGATCCTTTTGGGGGTCTGGGTGGAGGGATTGAGAGGAACCTCTGATTTCTGTTTTGCATTGACCGGTGGCTTGGCCCAATGCATCACATGTTACACGGCCAATGCCCCCAGCCAAAGTGGACTGCAGAACCCTCAACCCTAAACCCTAAACCCTGAACCCGAAACCCTAAACCCTAAACCCTAAACCCTAAACCCTAAACCCTGAACCCGAAACCTTAAACCTTGAACCCGAAACCTTAAAAGAAGGCTTGCCCTGCAAGTCCAAAGTGGAAGACATTCGCCTGCAATGCGGGCTCGTCCTTGTTAAGTAGGAGGCAAAAAACCCTAAGACCGTGCTGTTGCCCTAAGACTAAGGTAGAACCCGTGGGCCCCGAGTATGGGCCCTTGACCCCAGGGCCCATACTAGGGGCCCATGCGTTCAACCTTAGACTACGACACTGATCTGAAGAGCCTCGGACAGCAAGGCGACCACCAGCCTCCACCCCATATCCCACCCTCAAAAATCTGATGTAGGGGCCGAAATAACGAAACAATGCCGGATGAGACAAGGGCAGTTCATCTCAAGAATCCTGGTGCATGCACACACGCACGTATTTGTGTATATGTATATATATATACACACATACATATGTATTGTTACGTCCTTCTTACAGGTCTAGTGTAACCCCCTAAGGGTCCTTATGACTAAAGGTGGAAGTCGGGAATTCGAGCATATGGCTTAGGGCTTAAGACTGCGGGTTCACGGTTTACGATTTAAGCTTCAGGGAAGTTGGCTGCAACGACGAGGCCTTTAGGGTTTAGAGAGAAGGCCAGAGGCCCCAACGTCATCATTTCAAGCGCCTGCCCTCCAGGCTATCGGGTTTGGAGTTTATGGGACTTCGGGCTCAGGGCTTGGGGCCGTGGGTTTAGGAAACAAGCTCAGGATTAGGCGGTCTGAGCTAGACACTCTGCAAAAAGTAGTGGCTGAAGCAGAAGAACTGCGGAGGAGGCCACGCACATCGGCCTGGACTTCAAGCGGGTCCACCTACTCGTCGATGGCAGCCTGGTTTGTGTTTAAGGTCGTGGGGTTCTGGTTCCCTAAGCCCTAAACCCTAAACCCCAAACCGTAAACCCTAAAGCCCTAAAGCCTAAACCTCCACTTGGAGGATCATGGGACTTAGTAAGTAAGGTTATAAGTCCCCTAATTGGGGTTATAAGTATAGTTACCTTAATTATAACCCTACTTACTAAGTCCCATGATCCTTTAAGTAGGGTTACCCCCAAACCTTGAACCCTAATGAGATGGCAGAAGAAACCGGTAGAGCTATAGAGCTGAAGGGGTTAGGGTTGAGGTTAAGATTCTTAGGGTTTAGGGTTAAGACTCTTAGGGTTTAGGGTTAAGATTCTTAGGGTTTAGGGTTAAGATTCTTAGGGTTTAGGGTCTAGGGTTAGTGGGACAATGTGGATGACCATCAATTTGGGCCGTCGGGCGTCGTGTACTGTGTTCGAAGCGACGTTCTGAAACCCACCCTGTCCTAACACAGCTGGACCGAGAGAAGTGCTGAACCCGCCGAACCTAAACCTTACTGTAGCAACACCTAGAGAGACATTGACCCAATAACCCCAAAAGACTAGGATCCATATCAAGAGCCCTTATAAAGACACCCAGGTTTTTTTTTAAAATCAGGTTCCTACATCATCGACATGGGCTACGTAACCGCTAAGCCCGCTTCAAACCCAGAGAGCCCAACAGCCCTTAACTAAGGAATATAGCTTCAATCATAATATGAAGTCCCTTAAAATTTAAGGCATATTCCTAAATTCAGGGGTTATGAAGTCCCTTGTAATTTAAGGCAGATTCCTGAATTTAGGGGTATTGGGCTCTCTGGGTACCCTTATAAGCCTCCTAAACCCTAAACCCTAAACACCCCCCGTTGTATAACGCTCAGGTGACGTCCTCGTCCGTCTGTACCTCTGGGATTCCGGGTTGCCCGGCCTGGGTTCGGGTTTAAGGGGATAAGATAGGGGCCCTTAATGTGTAGAATAAGGTTTTGGGGCTTCCTTTAAAGGGATTCTTAAAGGGCTCTATAAGGGATCTATAAGAGGGTTCTATGTTAGGGGCCTGAATAATTAGAATAAGGTTTTTGGGGCCAATTTATACTAGAATTATAATAAGGAACCGAAGATAGTATTGGTAATTAATTTAGGCCCCTACATTAGGGTTCAGGGTTTTAGGGTTAAGGCTGGTTCGGGATTTAGGTTTCATTGTGGCGGCGCTACTTCCCAGGTGCAATAATCTGGAAGTGCTGCTTCCCAGCTGATTGACAGAGTCTGGGTTCAAAAAGGCTGGCCTGTAACCCTAAACCCTTATATAACCCTTAAACCCTAAACCCTAAGTCCTAAACCCCTAAACCCTAAATCCTAAACCCTTAAACCCTAAATCCTCAGCCAGTTCAGGGTTTCTACAAGAGCTCGATGTGCGGTTTTGAAGGTTTCGGGCGCTCGCTGATTGGACCTCAAGACTCCGGGAAGCCTATGTCGGGATGCCCTCTCCGCACTCCTAAGCCCTGAACCCTAAACCCGAAACCTTGAACCCTAAACCCGAAAGCCTAAAGCC